ACAAGGCCATCTAAACTTGGTATCCTAGCTCCCACTTCCGGTTGTGGTAGCAAGATGGCAGCCATTTGAGTAGCAAGAACTTTATTATTTTGTATGAGATTTCTCTCTTGATAGAATATAAATTCTCTGAAGCAGGCATTGTTTTTGTCTTTCCATGACCAGTTCCTAATTCGCAGTGCCTTGTACATACGTATATCTTGAATTTAAGAAATGTTTGTTGAGTTGAGCTGATCTCCACCCACTTTCTAGACATCGTTTGTCCCTTCAAGTAGCCCAAGATTGCATACTTTTTTTGGCTGCCACTTCATGGTGTTGACTCATTGAGACTGTATTCCACTGAAGCTGCCAGGTGTGTTTCTTTGCAAACTGCTGTCTAGCCACACCTTCTTGTCCCATAGCACTGTATTTGATTTTGTGTAGGACTTTATGTTTAACCTAATTAATCTTCATCTTATTCAATTAAATTGAATTCATCAAGCATTTATTAAGTGTCTACTATATGTTGGACACTGGGGATACAAAGAAAACTAAAAGAGTTCCTGTCCTCAGGGAGCTCACATTCTATTATAGAAAGACAACAGGTATAAAGAAAAAAATGACAATAAGAAAATATAATGCAATTTGGAGGTGAGAGAGAAGAATGCTAACAAGTGGAAGGATTAGGAAAGGCCACATGGTGGAGGTGGCACCTGAGCTGGGAAACTGTGAGAGAAAGGTGAAGAGGAAGAGCATTCCAGGCAAGGGGAACAGCCCATGCAAAGGTGGAGGTAGGAAATGGGGTGTCACGTGCAGGGAAGAGCAAGGGGCCACTTTGGCTCAATGTAACAATAATTATTTTGGAGAGATAAGTTGGAGCCAGAATCCGAAAGGCTAGAAATGCCAGACTTGGGGCAGAAAGAGGAAGTCACTGAAGTTTCCTGAGCAGGGAGGTGATATAGTCAGACCAATGCTTTATGATTAATTAATTTTGGCCCATGGTTCTAGTCTCTGCCATCCTGGCTCTGAGTTATCTACACAGTTATCTAAATGAGATATCCTGGTGCCTTAAGAAAGCCATCAATGAGAAGAAAGTCCCTATATACTCCGAAATATTTACAACAGCACCTTTTGTGATAGTGCAGAATTGGAAACCAAGTAGATCAGTCAGGGAATGGCTAAGTAAATTGTGATCCATGAATGTAATGGAATATTCCTGTGCTGTAAGAAATGATGTGTGTGATGGATACAGAGAAGCATGGGAAGAGCTACATGAACTGATGCAGAGCAAAGTCAGCAAAGCCAAGAAAACAACATACACAATGACTACAAGGATGTAAATGGACAGAACAATGTTAAGGACTGTGACAACAATCACACAAAAAAACCAAAACTAGAAGTAACAAAATTATACAAATCAAACAGGACTCCAGGGAAGAGAGATGAAAAGACACTCCCAACCTACCCCATTGTGGAGATGGGAGGTCCACAGGTCTTACACATTGCACATGTTTTGGGATTTTTAAAAAATGTATTTATCAATCATGCTGACTTTTGTTTTCCTCTCTAAAATATACTATTTGTTATATGGGGTGGCTCTTGGGGAAAGGGCGGGGAAGCAGGAAGAAGGATGCTTGGGATAACTGTGGTGATATAATAAACAAAAAATATCGATAAAAAATTATTAAAAACAAGAAAAATATGATGTCTCTGCAATGACCAAAATATTGGCAAACACAGGAGCCAGGGATGGATTCCTGGGGACTTCCATATACAGTATGCAGTCAGTGATGCATCCATAACTTCTCTTGAGCCAAGCCTTTCAAACAGTTCCTATTCCACCGAAGAGTACCACCAGCAAGCCTACGACTGAACCTTAACAAAAACCACAACAAAAAAACGACCAAGAAAAAACCCAGAGTTTGTTGAATAAGTAGGGAATGAAAGCAAAAGGCATTAGGTGTTACTAATGCGACTTCTCTCCCAGTGGGTGAGATTCTAGAGCCTGGGTTCTTAAGCTGGTAGTTGTGAAAGTGTTCTTTAATATTTTGATGATTCTATTTCAATACAGTCGGTTTCCTTTGTAATCCTATGTATTCTATTTCATGCATTTAAGACATGATTCTGAGAAGGGGTTCATAGGCTTCACCAGAATGCTGTCAAAGGGGGACCATGGCCCCCCAAAAATTTAAGTCTCCTTGTGCTAAAGGGATTCCTGTGTTGGACTGATGGGACTACGTAGCTCTCAATATCTGTCCTTTCCACTTTTGAGAGCCTATGGAGGGGGTAGTAAGTGTTGAATAGAGGATTGCTTTGGACTCAGAAGACCTGGATTCAAATCCTGTCTGTGGAGACCTTGGGCAAGACTTAACTACCATAGTTTTGTTGTTGTTATTATTCAGTCATTTTCAGTCATGTCCAACTCCATTTATGGTTTTCTTGGCAGAGATACTGGAGTGATTTGCCATTTCTTTCTTCAGCTCATTTGACAGATGAGGAAACTGAGGCAAACAGGGTGAATGAAGTGACTTGCCCAGGGTCACACAGCTAGTAAGTGTCTGAGGCTAGATTTGAACTCAGAAAGATGAGTCTTCCTGACTCCAAGCCTGGTACTCTATCCACTGCACCACCTAGCTGTCCCCACTACAGCCTTAGTTTCCTGCTTTTTAAAGGTGAAGGGGTTTGAACACATGGCCTCTAAGGTCCTAGCCAAATGAAAAATGATACTGTGGTTCTATAAATATTTCTAGGCATAAGAATAAGGATGGACCTATGATTTCACTGATACAGGGAACTCTTTATGAGGAAACCCACAGCTCCAATGCTGGTCTGTGCTATTCCCCCTCCCCACCTCACCTCCCCAGTTCCTAGTCCTAAAGAGCTGCCTAGAGGACGCAGAAGTCAAGTGATCTGTAGAGTCACACAGATGCTATGTGTCATGGGCTGGACTTGAACTTGGGTCTTCTCACCTCTGAAGCCAGCTCTCCATCCACTCCTACATGCTACCTCTATTTCTAGAGATACTTCTGGCTTTTTTTTTTTAAAAGACTAATCACGTACAGCCAAAGTCCCATCAGTGCTTGTGAGAGAGACACCAGTCAATTCTTGTTCTCTCTTGTAGACCCCCCACAGATCATCTGCCCTCCCATCTGAGTAGCCATGTCCGGGTCACCTCCTGCCAAGTGAGGATTTTCATTTTAAATCCAAACTTCTAGATCACTTAATCTCCGTGTGGGATCTCCAAATTACAGTGCAGCCTCGGTTATTTCTGGGAAGGTTGTTTAATCCGATCCAATTTCTGTGGATTGTTGTCATAGGAAGAAGGCTGGGGCCTCCAACACTCAACTTACAGATGACAAGGATAAATTTGCTGGAAAGTACAAGGAGGAAATCCATCAACTAGGACCCTTTTTCATTCTTGGTGGGGGGTAGGGCAAAGCTCCTTTCAAACCCTGCCCTCTACAGACTTTAAGTTTGAAAGTGGAAGCATTAATTTGTGTATGGAAAGGCTACGGATTCATGGAGTAATTAGCAGAAACAAAGACCTTGCCTCCCCAGCATAGATTGTTCCTGTGTCCCCCCCCACCCGCCCCTCCCCATTTACATGGAAAAGTGGGAGAAATTCAGAAGTAAAAACGGAGAGAATTTTAAATACCAGCGCTGTTTTGTGGTCATTGGGATATTTATTAAAACTACTATGGTCTATTTAGGGGCAGCTAGGTGGCACAGTGGATAGAGCACTGGCCCTGGAGCCAGGAGGACCTGAGTTCAAATCCGGCCTCAGACACATGGCACTTACTAGCTGCGTGACCCTGGGCAAGTCACTTAACCCCAACTGCCTCACCAAAAAGCAAAATTAAAAAAAAATAATATAATGATAAATGCTCCTTAAAAAAAACAAACAAAACTACTATGGTCTAACCTGAAGAAATGCCAATTTAGGAAGTACACTGGTTAGTCACCATAAGGGAGTGAGGTCTCTCACCCAGGGCGCTGAGCAAGGTCCGAGGAAAAGGAAGGGCTGAATCTCAGAACAGTAGTGTCCCAGAGTGGCTCTAGGGCTTGGTATCTAGAGCTGAGAATGTTTCCCACTTCTCTGAAGTGCAGTTTGTTACAGCTTCTTGTGGCTGTTGTCAACATCCTTCACAAATTCCAGCACCGCCCTATGTGTTTGGCTTTCAAAGGTCCTTCCCAACCTGGACCTTTTCTACCTTTCCAGTCGTCATCCCTTCTATGCAGCATGTGATTCTGTACCTTTTCACTGACTGTCCTCAACGCCTGGAAGCTTCTCCCCCTTGGCTCCTCCTCATGGATTACCTTCCTTTAAATCTCTCTTAACTCTGAGATTAGGGCCAATTTACCCTACGTGTGTGTGTGCATACACACATATACACACACACACACACACACACACACACCACTAGGGACGTCTTGCTTGCAAGGTGTCTCACGCTTAGTTAGCATGGTGACTGGCACATAGCAGATGCTTATTAAATGTTTTCTAACTTGATTCTGCTTAGAGGTAAAGGGTTAATAGTTTTCTTTGAATAATCATAACTAACATTTATATAGTATTTTGGGATGCAGCAAGTTGGTGAGATAACACACAGGACTTGGAGTCAGAAAGACCTGAATTTAATTCTTCTCGTAATGTGGTTCTGTTCGGGACACTTAATCTCCTGGATTCAGTTTCCTTATCTGGAAAATGGGGATAATAGCAGGACCTATTTTCCAAGGTTGTGGTGAGCACTGAATGAAATACTGTCTGCAAAGTGCTTTGCAAACCTTAAAACGTTGTATGGTGATTGGGAAGTTCACAGGCAGCCAAGTGGCACAGTGGATAGAGGACCTGGCCTGGCATCAGGAAGACCTGAATTCAAATCCAACCTCAGATACTTTCCAACTGTGTGACCCTGGGCAAGTCACTTCACCCTGTTTGCCTCAGTTGCCTAATGGTAAACCACTCCAATGTCTCTGCCAAGAAAACCCCAAATGGGGTCAGGAAGAGAGGTCCACGGAGCGGATCAGGGGCAGATGAAGGGCACGCTCACCCGTGTCCGGAACCTCCGGTTCACCAGCTGTCCAGCGTGCCCATACAAGACCAGCGCCGGGAGCGAGGGCTGCAGGCGTCTGGAGCCGCTAGGCAGTGGAGGTTGCTTCCGCCACCAAACAGTTCTTCTGCTGTGTGACTCTTTATCAGTCCCGCCCTGCTTTTCAAGCGTTTTTGAAGACTCCAGACATGGAATTATTCTGGGAATGTCCTGGAGATACCATCTTGGCATGGAGCAGACTTTTGCAACAGTTACAAGACCTGACCAACCTTGAGCAGGCAAATGTAGGCGGTGATAAGCTGCCCTGTAGCAGCTGCAGAGACAGCTCTGGAACAGGGTCAAGACCTGAATGAGAATCCGCCCTGAGGCACTACTGCCTGTGTGGCCGTGTGCAAATCGGAGCTGGCACTGGCCCAGCCGTCAGGATCAGGCACGCTAATGGATATGCATAAAGCCCTATTAGTTCCTTGTAGCAGACACTCCATTTCCCGACTCAGGGCCTTTGCCATGGCTGTGCCCCCATCAACCTCCTTATCTCTGCCTCCTCCCTTTCCTCAAGTCCCAGCTGAAATCCACCTTCCACAGGAAGCCTTTCCCAATTCCCCTCCATGCCTTTCCTCCGTTATCCCCAATTTATCCTGTCTATGTCTTGTTTGCACACAGCTGTTTGGAAGCTGCCTCCGATAGACAGTGAGAGCCTTGAAGACAGGGACTGTCTTGCATATCTTCCTATTCCTAGCGCTTAGAATAGTGCCTGGCACACAGTGGGCACTTAATAAATGCTTACTGACTGATGGGCCCCATTAGACTGAATGTTTTGAAGGCACGGACTTTTCACAATGCCTGGCACACAGTGGGTGCTTAATTAATGCTGGTGAACTTTGCCAAGGGCTTTACAAATATTGGATGCTTGCAACAACCCTTTACGGAAGGTGTTGTTATCATCTCCACTTTACAGACTGGGAAGCCGAGGCCTCAACAATAATAAGAGAGCTAACATTCGGAGAGCGCTTTAAGGTTGCCCAAGCGCTTTACATGTAATTCTCTCCAGAGCTCCACGTTCCAGGCAGGAGTGCGAGGCTGGCCAGGTGGACACGTCATCTCCCCTCCCCCTCTCCTTCCTACGTTCTCCTCCCCGCGAGGGGCGTGGCCTCGCCGAGGACTACCAGAGAGGAGCCGGAAGGAGTGGCAACTACATTTCCCAGCATGCCGCGGGGCTCCCGGCGCGGCCTCTCATTGGCCAGCCGGCGCCGACAAGCCGTGTTTTGACTCGGGTGGATCACGTGCCTTCTTTGTTGTGAGCTCGAGCCTCGGAGCGGGGAGCCTGGAGACGCCGCTGGGAAGAGGAAGACAGACGCGAGACCGCGCTCGCCAGACGCGGCTGGGGGAACGTTGTCGCTGGACCCGCGGGGGGCCGCTGTATTGGAGAGGTAGCCGGGGCCCGTGACTCCGCGATCCGCCTGCAGGTGGGGGAGAGAGGCGGCCGCAGCCGGCGGAGAGCAGGGAGCGGGGCCGCGGGCCGGCAGGGCGGGGAGAGGGCTGGCTGCAGCGCCGGCCGGAGCGGGGAGCCGGGGTGCGCAGACTGCGTGCGTGGCTCGAGAGCGATGCTGCTCCCCGACGCGCGAAGCCCACCCCCGGACAATCCCCAGCCCCTGCCTCTCGCTGGAGAGCTGGGGACAAGGGTCGGGGTCCGAGTTCCTCGCGCCCTGCCCGGAGCTCAGCCCAGGTCAGGGCCCGGGCCGGGGTCCTTAGCCAGGAATTCTGCTCCCTGCAAGATTGCGAAACGTGCGGCGCCCCATCACCTGACCGTGACCCCCTCCCCCTTCTCCCGGCCTTTGTTTGTTTACGGCGGCGGCGCTGAGGCCAGCCTCGGGAACCTCGGTCCCCGGGGCGGGGGGGGGGGGCGGCAGGGGGGGCGGTGACTCCCGAAGCCCCGCCTTTTTTCCATTCCTGCTCGTTGTTTCTGGCGGTCCGGGCTCCGCTATCTTTACATGTCCTGCGGGCACCGGGTTAGCGCGTCAGGGATTGGCTGCCTCGGCGGCTGGTGGGCGGGGCGGCGGGTAGCTTCCGCGAGCTGATTGGATGACCTGTCTCTAGGGCGCTCCCTCCTCCCCCTTTGCCCCTTCGCCCGCCCCCATGAAGGTGACCTGGAGGACGCGCGCGCTCTCGCCCCTCCCCCTGTTGTCGGGGCAGTCAGTTACCTAGGGTAGCGGCGCGCGCGCACGCGGGAGAGGGCGCGGGCGCTGCGGGCCCGGGATGGCCGTGACCCGCCCGTGACCCCGCCCCCCCTCGGGCGCCCAGGCCTGCTGAGGCTGCCCCGCGGGTACTGGCGGCGCATTCGGGGCCCGCGCGTTCGCTGGGCAGCCCTTGGGGCCAGGCACGTCCGAGCTTCGAGTCTCTGGACCGGAGTTCGAATCTCGAGCCTGTGGCTTATGGCCTGGGTAACCCCGGGGTAAGTGTCTTCTCCGCTCCGGGCCTCAGTTGCCATGTGGGCCAAATGAGGCGGGGGGGGGGCGCGGGTTCTAGGTCCGAGATCCTCGGGGGCTTCACCCTCTAGGCCTCAGTGTCCTATTGCGTGCGGGCACCGGCCATAGAGAGAGCGGACTGGAGCCCCCGGGCTCAGGGGGGCCGTGACCCCCGTGAGCCGGGGGTGGGGGGCGGGGAGCGCGGCCTGTCTATACCTGCGTCTGCCCCGCGGGAAGGGGCTAAGAGGAAGCGACTTTCAAACCAGGAAAGGGAAAACCGGCTCCTGAGGCGGGTCGGGGCCGCCCCTACCCCCCCACCCAGGAGTCCTGGGGCTCGCGCTCGGCCCCTCCTCCTTTAGGTAGGCGGCGCCTGCTGTATACGCGGTGCCGAGTAAACAGGAAGTGGCGGCCGCGGGTGCCTTGGCCTGGCCCCGGGCCCGGCAGAAGGCCCGGCTTCCTGGTTTTTCTGCGATTTCCTTAAAACTCGGGAGGCCGGGAGGGAAGCGTCCGGGGAGCGCTGTCGCGATAGGACAGGCCGCCGTTGTGACGGGAGAGGGCCGCTGCCCAGAGTCGGGGTTTGAACCCGCGTCCTGCCAAGGCGACCCCAGCTTTCGTGCCGAGCTAAGCATCCCGGGCCCCGTTGCACCTGGTGCGCGCCCACATTTCGTGGAGATTTTTAAATAACTTTTTATTTTAAACTTAACTACAAAATGAGAAAAGAAAAAAAATGCGTTAGGATTCAAGATAAAATGATAGATTTCCATTTCACGAAAACCTCTGTCATAAAAATGTCACGTGGTGTTTTCAGAGCTGCCCGGCTCGTCTCCACTTCCTTGTTGGTTTTCTTTTCTTCTCTGCCCTTTGTACTTTTTACTTTATTTCCCCCTCCCCCAAAAGAAGGCTACAGTTAGTGTGTGCATACACACATATATGTGCAGATATATACATAGATATCTACGAGCTTACACACATGCACTCCTACGCATGGATGTAAGGCCCATGCTGTGCTTATTTCCACTTGTCTTGTTTCTCTGAAAGTGATAGAATCTTCCCTCACGGGTCCCAGTCTTTCCGTGTTTTTCTGACTCAGCCAGTTCATCATTTCCTTCACCACAGAAATACTCTAACCCGATCACATTGTCTCTGACAGATTGTCTGTGAAAGTTTCCCCCCAATTTTCTGCATTCCTTCTATTCTTGGCTATATAGGTTTTATTTGTACAAGAAAATTTTAATTTAAAATAATAGAAATCACTCCACTTCAGCAGTGCTCTGCCTTATAATATACTTTAAGGTCTGATCCTGCTGAACCTACTTCCTTTGCATCTTTTCTCCTGGATTCTTTGAAGTTCCTGACCTTTTGCTTTTCCATATGGATTTTGTTATTTTTTTCTTCAGCAAAATGATTTTTTTTAGCAATTTAATTGGAATGACTTTAAATAGGTTAGTTAGGTAAAATTGTCGTTTAAAAATTATATTGGCTTTACCTACCCATAAACAAAAAATATTACTTCAGTTATTTAGATTTTAGTTTATTTGTATAAAAAGTGTTTTATGTTTATGTTCTTGTGGTTCCTGTGTCTGTTTTGACAGGTATACACTCAGGTATTTTATACTGTCTAGGTATTTTAACTGGTCTAAAGCTATGTTGAATAATATTGCTGACACATAGTGTAGTTTTGGGGTTTTTTTTACTTTTGATTAAGTCTGTTTTAACTTTAACTTTGAGCAGAACATGATTATATCCCTGCTTTTTTTACATAATAAATTCTACTCCTGCCCTTTATTTTATCTTTGTGTGTTTCTCTCATTTGTATGTTTCCTGAAAGCAACATATTGTTGAATTGAAATTTTTAGTCTGCTGTTCATTTCTTTTTTATGTGTAAATTTGTCCAGTTATTCACATTCTAAGCTACAATTACTTGTTGTGTATTTTCTTTCTTCCTATTTTTCCTTGCTATCCTTCTCACCGGATTCACTCTATATCTCCTCACTCCTCTGCTTTGCTTCTACCCATTACCTTGCCCTCCTATTCCTTAATCTGTCCCCCCTCAAGAATCCCTCTCTTGTCCTCTCCTGCCATCCTATCCCCTTGCTCTCTTCTTTCTTTCTGAGTTTAGTAGACTTTTATACATATATACATACATAAATGCGTATATATGTGTGTATTATGTATATTATGCATATGTATTAAATTTCCCTCCTTAACCCATTCCTTTTGCTGTTGTCTTTAGTTTTTATTTTTATTTTTTTTATTTTTGGCTAGGCAGTGGGGTTAAGTGACTTGCCCTGGGTCATACAGCTAGTAAGTGTGAAGTGTCTGAAGCGGATTTGAACTCAGGTCCTCCTGACTCCAGGGCTGGTGCTCTATCCACTGCCCCACCTAGCTGCCCCATCCTTTTGTTGTTGTGTGTTTTTTTTAAATAATTTTGTGCTGTAAGCAGCTAGTTTGCAACCTTAGACATCTAAAACTAATGGACTTTTCCAGCCCTGAGAATGTTATAGTCAAATTAATTGATTTTTTTAAAATTCAAGATTGGACCAAAATTCATCATCCAAAGCTTCCATTTCCCCCCCACAAAGTAAATAATTAATTGTGGTTAATGGAGCTTTATTGACAGGCCACAAGGAGTGATGGGTGGCAGGCAGGCTTCAGAGTCAAGAAGACCTGGGCTTAACACACACCTAGGCTGTGAGATCCTGGCTACTTCCACTTATCTCTCATCCTGTGAGTTAGTGCCGCAGGCAGCTTTTTATCGAAGACTCTTTAAGTTGCCCATCCAGTACAGATCCACTTCCTTATTATTGGGAAGTTCTCTATATACCAGTGAAATCACAGGGGCCTTCTTTTTTTTTTTTAAGCTTTATTCTGAGTATCTTTGAAGTTTTTATTGACTTTGTTACCTTTGAGATAAATAAAAATCACTATTATTTTTAGATGATACATTATTGTTGAGGGTCACCCTTAAATTTTAAGTTTATTTTTTAAGTAATTGCATATGTTATAAAGTTTTTGTCCATGAGCTTAACTGTCATTTATATATACATATATAATGCATATACACATATAATACATGTATGATATACATTGACAATATGTGTCATGTATGTGTACACTTTTCCATATGTGTGTTGTGCAATATACATGATATATTTATATTATTCACATTTAAATTATATTTTAAAGGATATAAGGTAATTTTTAGAAGATACTCTTAACAATTAGGATATAAGGAAAGACCCTATCCAGTTTGACCATTTGTAGCAATTGCCCAAAATATTTTTTTTTTTAGTTTTAAGGCTCATTTGGAATTCTTTCTGATGGTATTGAGTTTTTTTTTTAATATGGTCTTGAATGAAAAAGTGAATGTCACTACTAGCATCACCTTTTTCCAATCTTTACTACTCCAGTCTTTGTATTTTGCCATGACAACGATTTTCTTTTCCCAGCAACAGTCAGCAGCTGCTTTTTAAAAAATGGTCTTACAGTTCTTTCAGCCTCAAGAAATCCTGTCCCACTGTAAGGGAATCAGTAACAGCCCCTCTGGGTGCCACGCTCTTCTGAGGTCTGTGCTTACTTACTGAGGATTTATTAGACTGTTTTACAGCATTCCTTTTTTTCAATTTTTGCAGTTGTTTTGCATTTTTAAAAATTATTTAGGATTTTATTTTTCCCCAGTTACATGTAAAAACAATTTGTTAACATTCATTTTTAAAACTTTGAGTTCCAAGTTCTCTCCCTTCCTCCTTCCCCAGGCCTCCTCATTGAGAAGGCAAGCAATTTGATATAGGTTATACATGTGTAGTCATACAAAATGTTGTTGTGAAAGAAAACCTAGACAAAAAAAACTTAAAAAAAATCAAGTGAAAAAATGTCTGCTTCAATCTGTATTCAGACACCATCAGTTCTTTGTCTGGGGATAGAGAGGATTTTTCATAAGTCCTTCAGAGTTGCACGAACTTAACTTTAAACAATAATAGCTCATAGTAGCAAAGATAATTTAAACATACATTGTCAGCTAATTATATTTTTTTAAAAACTTGAAAATCGATAGTCTACCAACAACTTAGCCATTACCTCTAATTGTACTAAAAATTTAAAGTTATAGATTCAAGTGGAAGGAAAAAGTCAACGACCTGGTTGTACCTTGGGCTGGGCTTGGGCTTGGCCAACTCTTCCAGGGCAGCCCTAGAACAGATCCAGGAGCTCCCTGGGTTAGTTTGCATCCATCTCTGGGAGGGTGACCCCAGAGCAGTGGAGACCCTTCAGTGACTAGACTATGATCTAGACAGGCAGGGACCAGAGCGGGGATCACGGGGAGATAGAATTACTCAGCTTGGCATGCTTCAGGCTTTAACGGGATTTTCCTTCTAGTTGTCTAAGTAAAATGATTTCATGTTGCAAATGATTCAAGTTAGCAGGCATTTAAAAAACAGCGCCTGCCTTGAAAGACCTCACAACCTAAAGTTGGAGACAACGGCTCTGTACAAGATCTGTTCGGATGAAATGGCGGTGACTCAGAGGGAAGGCATCGGCATTAAGGGGGACTGGCCAGGGCTTCTTGCGAAAGGTGGGGTTTTAGCTGAGGCTTCAGGGAAGGCAGGAGGCAAAGGCGGACAGGGAGTCTGGAGAAGGAGCATCTTGTTCATGGGCCAGCAGAAGAGCCCATTGTCCCTGGATCTCAGGGTACCAGAACATCAGGAAGTGGCCAGGTTATGAAAGGCTCAAAAGTCAAATGAGATTTTACATTTGATCCTGGGACTTTTGGGGAGCTACTGGGGTAGGACTGGGGGTAACAGCCACCAGATCACTGGCAGATGAAGGGAGGCTCAAAGCAGGATAACTGACCAGTGGGGACAAGGGCCTGAGGCAGTGAGCCGGCCCAGCTTTTGCTCGGTCTCTGGCCCAAGCTGCTAACCAGACTCTTGATAGGTCCCTGTATGGAGCCCTTCCTCCATGGTGTGGGATCCAAGAGCATTCAGATGAGCGGAGGAGCGGCCACCCTCCAGGCGCTGTCTTTCCCGCATCTAGAAGGAGATACGCAGTTACGATACGCCCTTCTGATGGACACTGTGCGGTTCTTGCCTCGTGTGGCCGTGTCTCCTTTGCATTTCAGGTTTAGCCTAGTGCAGTAAGATAAGGCAGTCTTGCCTAGTGGTTAGTGTTGGACTTGGTGGGAGGGGTCAGGAAAGATCTGTGTTTGAATGGTACCTTGGAGCTGTCACTTTGTGATCTTCAGTAAATCAGTTAAATTTTGACTTTCCTAATAGGTTTCTTGTGAGAGCATGTATGTAAAGGGCCCTGTGCACCGCAGACTTTCACACTACAGTTAAGAAAAAAACAACCTAGGAATGTTTCCTCTGGCTCTCCGGTGCTGTGTGCTGAGTGCTCCAGGGCCTTGCCCTTCGCTGCTTCGAAGTCACTGCTGCTGTGGGGCCATTCTTGGTCAGGCCAGGCCTGGAAGTGCTGTCTTCAGCTGGCCCCCGTATCTTCTTCACATCAGAACTCCAGGCAGATAGGGCGCTGCCACGGTCTGCATCTGCTGTAGTCCTGACCCAGCCAGGAGAAGAGGAAGAATGCCCAGGCAGGGGAGCTGGTGGGGTTTTAACTTTGGCAGATCTACGAGCTGCCCTAAAACGGAATCCCTGGAATGATCCTGACCCTTCTGAATCGGGAGATGAGTCCTCAGCTAACTCCAGTCTCCCTCTCGGTCAGGCCAGAATTAGATTGGCCTGTGGGAGGGTGAGGGGGCAGAGCAAGATTGCTCCTAACTTCAGCCCTCGAATCCAGAGAACAATATGCATATTTATGTAGTCTTAGACACACACACACACTCTCACACATCGTCACTGGTATAGATCTGAACTCTTGGCAGAAACGCCTTAGAATGTCCTGCATTTGAACCTCAGAGATTCAGTGCGTAACGAATGTTCTATTCATAGATTCTTGGCTTAGAAACCGAAGACGTTTGAGCCTCTTGTGCCTTATCCAGGACGCTGGTCTTTTCTCTAAACGTTTTCTGCCTTCCCCCAAAGGCTAGCTGATCTAGCAGGATGGGGAGGGATTAAGCTGAATGAATTGTCTTCTCCAAATGGTTTAATGCCATGTCCATGTCTGTATATCACCAACCTAAAGCAAGTGAATGTGTGTGAATGTACGATAACCGTCACCATATTTGGGAGATATTTGATAGCAAATCTAATTCAGCTGAAGATTGGCTTTTTTCCCCAGAGTTGTTCTAGGTTCTTATTAAGATTTTCTGTAATTTATTAAAACAGTTATACAGTATAGAGGAGTTTGAGTAATGTACATTTGAGAGATACTTAGTGGGCCCATCTGAAAATAAAAGCAGACATAATTGAATTTTAAGTTTGGCATTGCACATAAATTGTTAGTATTTTTGATTGAGTGAAATGCTAATATCTAAATAAATATCTGAAATGTAATAATTTCCATTTTTTTTTCAAATTGCAAAAAATTATTCACAGAAATTCCAAAGGAACATGAGGATATGGAGGTGACATAAGTCTCAGGTCATAAATCCTAGCCAGTGCTACTGTGCTGCTTAGACTTCAGGTGTGCTTCTGGTCATGGACTCTATCGGTCAGCAGGCACACTGAAACTGCTGCTGTGTGCCACGCACTGCGCTGTGGCCTAGGGAATGTGAGGACCAAGAATGAAACAGGTCGTCCTCTGAAGCAGCTTCCATTTGGGGAGGGAGGGAGACAGCATCATACATGCCCACATCCACGTGGGAGTATATGCAGACCAAATGGAAAGAGGCCTTGTGGGGTGGGGGAGGGGCACGGGCACAGGAGAGGGGGGAGAGAGAGAGAGAGAGAGACAGAGAGACAGAGACAGAGACAGAAGGGGCTTCCTGAACTCATCTTTTTGAGTCGCCGTGGTTTGCAGAAACACTGGACCCAGAGTGTGCAGGAGGCCTTGGATATGTGAAGGACGAAGTCGCGCGCCCCCCCCGCCACTGCCATGCTGACATAACTTATTGTTTGCACCCTGAGTTGGACTCCCTGTGTGTGCTCGGGAGTCAAGACGGGCCCCTGTCAGTGTGCTCTGCGCTGAGAAGCTGCTTGTGCAGCTGGGGCCCTTGGAGATGAGCAGACCCTCCTTTCTCCATGGTCTGGCAGCTCCCAGGCAGACAGAATGCAGCTTTTGCCTTCTTCCCCTGTCGCTCCCTTTTAGGTGGAGGTTTGTATTTCTCCTTTCTTTGTTGCACTGTAACAAATGCACTTGCTTAGGGTTCCACATGCATGTTCATTTCATTGTATTAAATCCAGCTGTGACACACGGACAAGTCTCATGGACTTGTGATGTTTTGGGGTGTGTGTTTGGGGGAGGTTGTCCTGCACTGGCCTGGCTACCTACTGGTGAGTGATAGAAGGCCCCTGGGAAGGCCTGCCTGGAAGAGTTGCAGTCATATGTCCTAAGAGGTATGCCTACCCAGAAGAAGCCAGAGCTCTCTAGAGTGTGGTTGATTTTGGGTGGTTTGGTTTGGTTTTTGAGTCCTGACCTGGGACTGGCAGTGGGGGGCACTCCCTTCACTAGTGCAGATCATAGGGAATTGCCAGGGGACCTGGCCAGGGTGACAGAGCCAGCATCTGGCAGAGGAAGGACGTAAGCCAAGGGCTTCCTGACTCGAGGCGGCTCTGCTTCCCAGTACTTCAGCCTGAAATAGAAGCCCGTCACCAGAGCTTTGGGGCCTCAGCCCCTCCTGAAGGCCATCGGCTAAATTGTAGAGGAGTAAGAACCTGGTCCATGGACAGAGTCCCTGGGCCAGTAAAATTACAGATTCTTCAGTCTATCAGCACCCCTAGCGAGTGGGCCCTCTATGAAGGCCTGGGGCCACAAAAGCAGGGATGAAGAGACGGCTAGTTCCTGCCCTAGGAGCTTACCTGGCATGGTGGGGGACAGACAGCCTGTTCCTCTGTGAGTGTATATTCTATATTATTCTTATATTCTGTGTGAACATAGGCCGAAAGGATATGAGATACTGGGAAGGAGGGGAGGGAGAGTCCTGGATACGTCTTAGTACGTCCAGTAGAGAATTGTTGGTGCCCCAGAGCTGAAGAGGGTCTCATCGCAGCAGCACTTCTGGTTATTATTGACATACTGAGTATAATTCATTTATCTCTGGCTTAAGAAATCTTACCTCTGGGCTGAACTGTTGTAAAATAAAGGTACTTTTTGGAAGGTACTGAAACTGAACTTACTTTTGAGACAACAAAAAATGATGGGATTGATTTAGAGAGAGAGCAGTAGTCTAGCAATGTCATTCCAACCATAAGTATAAAGAGTTGGTTTGTGATTGTATTACTCAAAATATTTTTAGCTTTATCTGACTTGGCATATAACAAACACTTTCAGGAAATGATGCCAAATAGCCTTGATATGAGGGACAGCTAGGCAGCACCGTAGTACATAGAACTCCAGGCCTGGAATCAGGAAGACCTGTGTGCAAATTGGACCTCAGACACTTAGTAGAAGTGAGATCCTGGGCAAGTCCCTTCACCCTGTTTGCCTCGTTTCCTCATCTGTAAAATGAGCTAGAGAAGGAAATGGCAAACTGCTCCAGTATCTCTGGCAAGAAAACCCCAAATGGGGCCAGGAAGAGTCCGATGTGACTGAAAATGACTGGACAACAACAATAACAAAGCCTGATGTGGTGGTTACAGCAGCTGATTTCTCTGTTGTTTCATTTTAGGTGAAGAAAAATACCACGGATATTTTGGCTGTGTGGCTTTGCAGTGGATGCTAATAATAAAGGTATTTATAAAATGGATAACTTCTAAATTTTGTCATCAAGGAAATTTCTGTCATCTCCTTTGCCTGAGTAGGTTTCATCTCAGGTACTTTAGAAGAATAACTGTTCTGTTTTTAAAGCTGTCAAAGAAATGCATTTTTACGTTCTCTTTAATAGTCTGACTTTTTATTCTTACTCATTTGTCTTTCTGTCTTAAGTCCCTCCTGTTGAATTTTAAAGTAATTTTTTCCTCTTGCTTTTGAAATCCTGTTGTCAACACTGTTTATTTGAGTTGGCTCAGATTGTTGGGCTCTATAGACATCTAAGATGAGAATCCTGATTGTTAGAAGGCCTTTTCTTCCTTCTTGTACCCCATGAAGTACCCCCTTGGTGTGTGGGGGTTTCTGTTGGGCTCCAGTGCTGATCAGCCTTCGTATAAAATCCTGACGTTTCCTGTCCTCAGGCTGTCCATGCTGCTGCTGCTGCTGCTCCTCCTCCTCCTCCTCTTCTTCTTCTTCTTCCCCCTCCCCCTCCTCTTCCTCCTGGGACATTGCTGCCATCGCTGTGGGAAGTTCAAAACTTTTGACCCTTTGAAGGTTACAACACTTTTCTCAGGTCACAGGGGGAGGAGGAGGTAGAGATAATTCTATTCTCACCTCAGTTCCCCCTCACTGGCAAGGCTGGAGCTGTTTCGCCCATCGGACTCTCCTGCTATTAGAAGCCTGGATTCTAAACTGACTTACTGATTTGTCAAAAGCTCACAAGACAAGGCTGATTCCCCTTAAATAATCCCGATCCAGTTCCCATATATGGCTCAGCTCATTTTATCCAATGGGTCAGAGCATTTCACCAATTCCACAAGATCTTTTTTTGGTTCACTCAGGATGTCCAAGAATTGTTGACACCTGTTTTACACATTTGATTGATAACTTGATTGAGTAATTGCACCGTATCTCAGGCAATCCTTTTATCTCCCTTGGACAACACTCCCCTCCCTCCCCCCCATCACCCTCCTCGTATGTATCCACTGTATTGTGCCCAGACTGGGTTGCTGACCATCACCCCTGTGCCCTGCACTGCCCTATTCCTTCATTAAGTGTTCCCCGAGACTCCAGGCAGTAACCTTGCACCCAGCCCATCCCTCTCTTCTATATCATTTGGTATTATGGTTATTTGTGTATGTGTAATCCTGGGATGTGAAGATACAGTGTGTCCCACCTGGCTGATAATAAGCTCCCTGAGGGCAGGACTGGCTTTTGTTTAGCCCTGGGCTCATGCTGGTACTGAAAGAAAAATCTGCTGCTCTCGATTTTGATGAAAGTACAGGTTGTCCCTTGAGGTGACCAGGCTTACTCCTGGTATCGTGTTCATTGTTTCAGTCTTCATATTGTTTGACTTTATAAATGTGTCATATGGGCCACCCATTGCTATGATTTATTTGAGTACATTTAGAAGATAAATATACATGTCTTTCCGATGATTTAAATATACCTGCCATTTTCTCTTTTTAGAACTTGAGTCAAGTCTGGATTTTTTTTAGCGTTCTTCTTGAAAATCTTTGCCAAGCCAGGCGTGGTGGTGCACATACATCCATAAGCTCTGCTTCTGAGGAGGTTGAGGGAGCTTCTGTTTGTAAGGCCTGCCTCTGTGGGGTGGCAGGGGCCCAGCAGGCTGCTCGGATGGGAAATAGAGAAGAGCAGAGCTCTTTGGTCCCTCCTGTAGTGGGGTCAAGGGCCTGGACCGTGGCTGGCTGCAGCATCTGCAGCTTGGGAATGATGGAAGACCCAGGCTCAGAAGGGAAGGAAAGTAACATCTTTGAAAGCTCTGACATAAGCCACTACTAGATCAGTAAACCTTGTTTCCTTACCTTTTGTGCAGAAAGGGGGGAAATAGCCCACAGTTGTCATCTAAGCAAGTAACAAAACACAAAAAGTAAATTTGAAAAAACTCCTGTAATAAATGGAGGAAGTTGTCATTAATCTAGAGAAGTTTGGATCTCAGTGCAACATTATTATGGAATCGCAAAATGTGATGCCCAGCCCTGATTCTGGAGGACTGAGGATGGAGGCCACAGCTAACTTACTAAGTGAGAACTGACAGGTGCGGAGTACAGAATGAGACCTCATGTTTTGGGTGGATGTCCGTTTTTTCTTACAAGAGCCTTTGGGGTTTTTTCGAAGGGGCTAGGAAGGATAGATTTTTGTTACATGGGAAAAAAAGTTGCATAATGACTGTCTAGCTTGGGTCACAGACATAGGCAGTCTTGTTTGATGATATTTCTGCTTTCCTAGTAAAATGACAGGACATATTCTCATTGTAAACAAACCAGTTGCAGAATTTGATTTGGAAGGGAGGTGAGCAGCCATCTAGCCAATCCAGGCTGAAAAGGAAGGAGGCCCCCATATGACAGACCCAACAAATGGTGCTTGAGCTTCTGAGCTGGAAAATGGCCAAGGAGGGGGCTGCCCCGCCTCCTGACTCACTGCCCATTCCATTTTTGGACAGCTGGTCTCTCAGTCCTCAGTGATCATCATTCCAGCCATGCTAAGCAAGGTCCTAGCCTTTCTTTGATCTTTTCATGAAGCTTTTTTAAACAAAACAAAGCTCTCTATCCTTAGCTTCCCTTGCTAGCTTCAGCTCTCATTCTGTGAGAATTCACATTCCTGGGGGTATTTTTGTAGGACTGTGCCACAACTCTTACATTCATTTTTTGTTACCTGGCTTTGTGTCTTCTGTGCATTTCATTATAAAATCTAACTTCATTGACAGATTCCCTTTGTATCTACTTTAATCTCTTTAGACCAATCCTATTTTTTCCCCTCACTAGAGTTGTTTCCTGGTGTGGGCTCAGAATTTCATTCCCTTTCTGGGCTGAAGCATTTTCTTCCTTCCATAGGGTTTTATCCGTCTTTCCTTGAAATCTGCTTTGAAACCTGTACCCAAATCCAGGGTGTGTGTCACTCTGTGAGGATTTCCTCTCCTTCCTTACAAACTCTAGAATGAAGTGGTCACTTGCCCCCAGGGTTCCCAGCATTTCTGCTTTAGAAACCAGTTCCTCATTAGTAAGAACCAGATCCTTAATAGGATTTTCCTTTATTGATTTGTCCACCTTTTGAAGGTTAGCTGCTTTTCTTTTGGTGGTCAAGAGAGCACTAGCAGATGTTGGGATAATTGGAATTCCCCCATCACCATTATATCATGCCTCTGGATTAACTTCAAAAACTTCCCATAAATTTCCTTTTTTCTTCTAGGTCAAGAGTTCTTAATCTTCATGGACCCCTTTGCCATTCTGGTGAAGACCTTGTTCAAAATAATGTTTTGAGACTCACCCTGACATCTGATTATTAGTATAAAATACATAGGATTACAAGGGAAAAATAATTATTTTTGAAACATAATCATCAAAAGAATTTTAAAAACAGGCTCATAGATCCCACGTTAACCCCTTTGCTAGGTGGTCTGTTGTATATCATCGACAAAAATCACTTCTCTTTCTCCTCCTCTCACCTTCATCTAAATATTCTTTTCCTCATACTTCCCTGATTTTCTTTTCTGAGAATACCTTCTTAATATACCATGCTATCTTACCCCACCCTCCTATTATGTATTTTCTTAAATTCAGAAAATTCAGCACTTACAAGTATCATTACATCTGAAACAATGTGCCTGTCTCTATATGTAAATTTGAGAACTAGTCTTTCAAATATTTAGAATGGAAGGGAGGGGGTGAGTAGAGTGGGGTATATAGTCTTTTCCCCCTCCTTGCTGAAGTTAAGTTACTTTCCTCTTTGTCCCTGATATAGAGATATATTTATTGAAAAAAAAGGTCAAACTTTAAAGATCTAAAAAGAAAGTTTCTTCTATTTTAGCTCAGATTTGTTTTACTTGGTTAAAATTTGGATTGACCTATTTTCCCCTCTGAACCCTTTGAACATTGCTGTTAGTGGCTAAGCTGTTTTTTCAGTTACTATGGAGATGAAAGCGACTCCCAAACTTTTGACTGGGCAAGCTTACAACGTATCGGGCTCTTTTCTTTTTGTAGTGAACAGTGCAAAGATGAGGAGTTATCCCCTGATATTCTTTGCCCTGGTTAGAGCAGGTTCATAAGATCCTGGCATTAGAGCTGGAAAGGACCAGCCCTTCATTTTACAGTTGGAGAAACTGAGATCCATGGATGTTTCCTTGTTTAAATGAGGGGGTTAGACAAGATGGCCTCTGAGGTCCCTTCCTCCTCTAGATCTGTGATCCCTCTGAGTTCCACTAGTAGATGGGTGGAACCACTGGTAGGTCTCCAAGTTTGTGGGCCAGATCTGTAAGGTAGGCTCAGTTTTGCCACTTGTTTGAAGTGGATTCTTACAAAGAGGACAGAGAGTAGCTGGCACCAGGGTCTGTGTTCTCATCCTGCTCAGGCCCTTTACTGCCCATCTGTTAATAACTTTGTAGAATTGAAATTAGTCTTTCCTCTCTCCCCCTTTTTATGTAAGGGAAATGAAGGTTAGAAACTCCAGAAACAAAGAATTATTGTTTTTAGTCTTCATTTTATCCACTTAAAAGCACCTTGAGTCTTCTGAGCTCTGCTAAAGAACAACAGGTAATGAATGAATAAGAGGAGGAGGCAGCTAGAAATGAAGAAGAAGAACTGGACATGTTTTGGTCATTAGAGTAAATGCAGGTCTTCCTTAGAACCCAGGACCAGGAGAGTAGTGTTTCTGCCCAGAGCCATTTGTATGAGAGAGACCAGAGAATGGAAGGACTCCCTAGCTAAACTGTAAGTTCCTTGAGGGCAGGGACTTTTGTTTTAGTGGAGCTATGTTTATAAAGTCACAGCTTTGAGTTCTTCTTCTCTAGTCCCGTCATTGGCAAATCAGGGAAGTACGCTGAGTGGTCAGCACCAGCAGTGCACAGTAGGTGCTCAGGACATTAGAGGTAGGGGTGGATGAGCAAGTTGACAGTGGGATTGAGGAAGGTCAGGCCTTGAGTCAGTGCTTTTTTCAGGGAGAAGAGAGAAAGGCAAACCAGTCAAGAAGCGTTTATTAAGTCCGTTATGTGTCCAGCACTGAGAATACAGATACATGGATGAAAGCAGTCCCTGTCCTCAAGGACCTTGTGCGTAAGGATGTATAGACTAAATGCAAGGTCGTTTTAGGAAATCGCCAATTTTAATTTCTTTTAGAAATAAGTGAGGTGATGGTAACATAGATATCCTCCAAAGAGCTTTGACTTGGTTGTGCTAACAGATCATTCTGACCCAACCCATGGCATTGCTACTTGGAAGGACACTTTCCAGATGAAAGCACCCCCCGCCAAAGATGGCAGGGCTGTCCTCAGAAATAGGAAGTTTGGAAGATTGGGGGACTTTAGGGGGACAAAGTGAATGAGTTTTGTTTCAGAAAGAAAGAGAGTGAGATTGAAGGAGATCAGATTGGAATGCTAGAGGAAAAATGGAATGGGAATAGTGGAATTTGCTGTTTCTCAATTCCGAGCAACCCTTTCTCTGCAGCCTAGAGGAGTGAGGGGGGACGTGACTGGCCTTGGGGCCCACAGGTGTCAGAGATGGAGCTCAAGCCCAGGTTCTCTGGACTGCCATGTGGCTGTGCCTCTGAGGGAGGACAGGCAAAACAAGGGGGATTTGTGCTCTTGCTAGGGATCAGTGTCTTGTTCATTGTAGAATTTTTTCAATGTGTGTGCTCCCTCTGAACAACACAAAATGGTGAATTTTCCACACTGAGACAACTTTAAAGAGTTGGCTCCAAAAGAAAATGTAATACCTGGTGGCCATCCTTAGGTTCGGTGGGCATTTATCACCTGATGTGTGCCAAGCACTGTGCTAGGTGGGCCCTGGCAACACAGAGACAGAAGTGAAATGTACCTTGCCCCCAGGGAGCGTATGTTGAAGTAGGAGAAAACCTATTTATAAAACACATAATGATAAATAAATAGAAAATACGTGAGAACTATATAAAGTCATGCAGCCCCTCGATGCCTTAGTTTCCTTACCTGTGCCATGAATGGCTGTCGATGACTTGTCAGGTCCCTTCTAGCCCTGAATCTGTGATCCTGTAATTTCAGGGGGAGGGACAGAGTGCCAGTGGCTAAGAGGGGACCAGGTGAGGCCGTCTGTGGAGGATGTGGCACTGAGTGGGCCCTGGAGGCTATTCCAGTCTTGGCTCACTTGCTCCCTGGAAGTCCGTCCCCATCGTTGGGCTCAGGTTTAAAGCCTTCCCAGTTTGGTAGATCATGCTCTACTTTGTGCTGTGCTCTGTTAGCGTAGTCTTAGAGAACGGTGGGACTTGAGTGGCGGGGCAATAACCCAGTGCAATTTAATGTGGGAAAGTTCACAGCCTCAGGTGAGGACTGGTCTGGTCCTGACAGCTTGGTCATTTTTGAGTGTAGCATCCATTTCTGTTATTATTTATGGCCAAATAGTTAAGCTCTTCATTTTAAAAATGAAATTATTAGCTGCTTTTTTGCCATTCAGAAATGTTGCTATTCTGTTTTTCGTTTCACTTCTAGGAAGGAAGGAAGATCCTTAGCAGGCCCTTTCTCACAAGGATCTAGCCAGCCGATGTAACCATGGTACTAATCCTGGGCCGCAGACTGAACAGAGAGGATCTTGGGGTGCGTGATTCCCCGGCCGTTAAGCGTAAAGTGTTTGAAATGGACCCCAAGTCTCTCACAGGCCATGAGTTTTTCGACTTTTCTTCGGGATCTTCCCATGCTGAAAACATACTCCAGATCTTTAATGAATTCCGAGACAGCCGCTTGTTCACAGACGTCATCATCTGTGTGGAAGGGAAGGAGTTCCCGTGCCACCGGGCCGTCCTCTCGGCCTGTAGCAGCTACTTCCGAGCCATGTTCTGTAATGACCATAGAGAGAGCCGCGAGATGCTGGTGGAGATCAACGGCATTTTGGCCGAAGCCATGGACTGCTTTCTGCAGTACGTGTATACTGGAAAGGTCAAGATCACTCCCGAGAATGTCCAGTACCTCTTTGAGACATCCAGTCTCTTTCAGATCAGCACCCTGCGTGACGCCTGTGCCAAGTTCTTGGAGGAACAACTGGACCCTTGCAACTGCCTTGGGATTCAGCGCTTTGCTGACACGCACTCCCTGAAGACGCTGTTCACCAAGTGCAGAAATTTTGCTCTGCAGACTTTTGAGGATGTGTCCCAGCATGAAGAATTCCTGGAGCTTGGCAAAGATGAGCTCATCGATTACATTGGTAGCGATGAACTGGTGATTGGCAAGGAAGAGATGGTCTTTGAAGCTGTCATGCGTTGGGTGTATCGGGCAGTTGACCTGAGAAGGCCATTATTGCAGGAGCTTCTGACCCACGTGAGACTGCCTCTCCTACATCCCAACTACTTTGTGCAGACCGTTGAAGTGGACCAATTGATCCAGAATTCTCCTGACTGTTACCAGTTACTACACGAAGCCAGACGGTACCACATCCTGGGAAATGAGATGATGTCACCAAGGACGAGGCCGCGAAGGTGAGCAACTTTGCAAAGCCATAAATAAGTCCTGCTTCTGATGTTAGAACCGAGGTGACTTTGGCCAAGTCACTGAGCGAGGAAGCTTAGAACAGAGGAAGTGACTTGGAGAGCCCTTCTAGCTCGAGGCCTTGAATCCCAGAAGTCTAAGTCACCTCATTTCTCGGGGCCTCAGTGTCTTTCCCTGTGAAATGGGGGGATGGACAAGATGGTCTCTGAGATCCCTGCCAGCATAGATCTGTTATCTATTGATGCTAAGAGCTGGTAGGAAGAGTCATTTGTGCAGATTAGAATCTCAGTGTGTTCAGTGTTTTTTTTTTCCATTTCTGGTGGGCAACAGAAAACAAGCAAATATAGAGCATTTGGTGATTTCTCGTTATAGTAGGTTTTTTAAAAAGTTAGAGAGCAGAACCAGAGAGCCTTTTTTCTGCAGTAGAGAACGTTAGATGTAGATCCAGAAGCAGGTCCACCCGCCCCCCCGTCGCCTGCATGGGGGACTCCAGTTTAGGTTGTCTGGGGAGGTGCCGAGCCCCCATTACACCTGCTTTGAAAATTTATCGTCATCATAGCTAACATTGATAATAGCGCCTCCTATGTGCCAGGCACTGTGCTGAGTGCTCTTACAAATGTGATCTCCTTTTTTCCTCCCAGCAACCCTGGGAGGGAAGTGCTCTTATGATTCCCATTTTACAGAGGAAGAAACTGAGGCAAACAGAAGTTTTCAGCTCTATATGATGCAGCAGAGGAGTAGGGGAAGAGGATAGGAGATCTGAGGGACAAGTTGGGGAAAGAGGAGCCTGGGAAGACAACTTCTGACATAGTATTGATTAAGCCCCATAGTGCCAGGCACTGTGCCTGTGCTGAGCATTAGAGGTACAGAGCAGAGTAAGGAAAGTCCTTGCCCTCCAGGAGCCCGCAGTCTGAGGAGCTGGAGATAACCAGCAAAGGGAAGGCCTGAGCATTCAGGGAGATAGGAAAGACTTCTGGCAGAAGGTGGGATTTTAGCTGGGAAAGCCAGGCAGTTAAGATGAGGAGAGAGAGTGTTCCAGGCATGGGGCACAGCCAGAGAAAATGCCTGGCATCAGTAGATGGCGTGCCATGTGCGAGGCCCTGGGTCAGGAGAGTGTGGAGGGAGGGTCACGTGAAAGAAGCCTGGAGACTGGATTAGGACCAGGTAGGCCTTTAAAAGTGAAACAGGATTTTAAATTTCATCCTGGAGGCAGATGCCCTATTGAACTAACATCATCCAAATAAACGGTCAGAGACTGAGGGCTAGGGTTGGCCATTCCCAGTTCATGACCCTTCCCACCTTGTCGAAGCTATGACAGCCTTGCAGCTGGCCAGGGCTGACATCACCCCCTGACATCAGGGTCAGCCCCTAACAGGCCTTTGGGAAGTGTAATACCAACCCTGCAGAATTCCCTGCAGGACGAGACAGAAGGATCTGGGGTATGGGAAAGCCTTTCCATGCGCATAGATCATCATGCCAATTTAATTCAGTCAGATGAAGATTTATTAAGCTCTGTTTGTATACTAGGCCTTGGAGATACAAAGATGAAATGAAAGAATTTGCTCTGTAGATAAAGGCACACACAGAGAAATGAATGCAAAATAATTCAAAGGAGAGGAAAGCAGGGGTCTTTACCTTTTGGTGGGTTCTCTGGCCCCCTGTGGTCATTGGTCTGCAAAGGCCAGATCAAAATTGTGTTTTTAAATGCAGACAATATGGGGCAGCTAGGTGACGCAGTGGACAGAGCACCAGCCCTGGTGTCAGAAGGACCTGAATTCACATCTGGCCTCAGACACATGATACTGACTAGCCGTGTGACCCTGGGCAAGTCACTTAACCCCGATTGCCTCACCAAAAAATAAATAAATAAATGAATGAATGAATGAATGAATAAATGCAGGCAATAAGATGCCGAGGATCACAAAGGGAACCAGTTATTCCAAAAGACAGTTAACAAAATATTTTTAAAAACCACGTTCATAGATTCCAGACTTCTTAATTAGAGAGATCAGAAAGGCTTCCCCATTGGAGGTGAGTTCTGAGCTGAGCCTTGAGGGAAGCTGAGGATTCTTAATTGGCAAAGCTAAGGAGGGAGTGTGTGCAGGCACAGGGGACTGCCAGTGCAAAGAGGTGGAGGCTAGAATGAGGAGCGCTAAGTGACCGCAGGCCAGTCTGGCCAGATCAGAGGCTTTGTTGTGATCATCGAGGAGGGCAGGTCAAGACCTAGGGTTCCCCACCCTTGCCTTAAATGGCCAGCTTCCTTAGTGCATTCAAAATACAGTTTGATTTATAGAAACCCATTTTGCAGAACTTTGAAAAGCTACATGCATCTCTTGTGTAAAGTGAAGTATGCCTCTGTTTTATTGAGAGAGACCCTGTCCCGAGATGAACAGAAGACTTCTGTAGTAGATCGTTACTGAGTTAGAATAATCAGACCTAAGGAACTCTGCTGAAAGTGCATTTGGCTGCATGTGGGTGAAGCCCTTGGGAGCAGGCCACTCGCCTGACCTGTGTTTGCCACCTAATGGTTGGAGAAAGAAATAACTGGAGTTCCAGAGTCTCAGAAACGGAAGAGGCCTCGGGGCATTTGGGCTAACTCCGACCATACAAGAGGAGACTTTGCTCCCAGAGTTCCTTGGCCAAGGGGTCCTGCCGGGCTTTGGGGAGGGTCCCATTCTTTCATTTTCTTTGGACAGCCCACTTTGCTGTATCCTATGTGCTTTCGTTGGAATGATTTTTCCTTTTTAATTTTTTTAAACTTTGAACCAGAAAACCTTCAACAAACATGAATATGTGCTTACGCAAAGAAACCTGGACAGTGCTGATTGTACATGGAAATGTGCCTTCACCAAATTTGGCCTATCCTTTGAATATGCATTGAGTTCAGCAGGGTAGTGCCCACATCGCCTTCCTCATCCATGGGCTTCTGTCTTCTCCTCTGTGCATTTCACTGACTTCTCTCTCTTCTCCTCCCCTTCTTTGCATCATTGTCATTCCCTAGAATCAGAATTGTAGAACTAGAAGGGACCTAAGGGGTCACCTCATTTAGGCCCCTCATTTTACAGGGGATGAAAAGGGACCAGAACAGTTCATCTACTTGTCCAAGAACATGCAGCCCCTTGGCTAAGACCAGCACTCAGATCTCTTGCCTTCAGTAAAAAGAGCCGATGTCTGTAGAATGCTTTATGGTTACAAAGCCCTTTGGGGAGGTTGTAGAGATGCTGTTATCTCCATTTTGCAAGTAAGGAAATTGAGGCTCAAGGGCTTGGTAGGTGTGGAAGATGGGACTCCAGCTGGCGTCCCTCTCCGCTCTGTGGCCAGCACTTTATGCTGCCCTGTCTTCATCTCGAGGAATTCCATCATCTTCCTTCTGGGAAGCTTCGTCCATGCCAGGCAGCATCTCAAAGCCTCCCATTGATTCTCCTCTTGCTGGGACTCTGGCTTTTTGTGGAGAACAAAGGAAGGAATTGGGGCATTTTCAGTGTATAAATTTCATGTTGCAAAATTTCCCTCCACACCCTCCTGACCTGAGAAGGCCTTTCTCTGTGGCCGCTGCATCCTTCTAGCCTTTGTTTGGTGTTTTACAGGTTTTCGTAGAGCTTATGAATTGCAAAAACCATTTAAAGAATAAACAGTCTTTTAATAGCTTTAAAAGCAGAGCTTTCTAGTAAGTTTCTGAAGTGTGCCAAAGTCTGAATGCTCAATCCTCAGAAGTGCTGTTTGATTGGTGGAGAGAGAGCCTGGAGGCAGGGGGTCCTGGATTCATCCTCCTGCCGGCTAAGGCCAGGGGGTGGCAGGGAGCCATGGGGCATTTTGAGCAGAGGACTAGCGCAGTCAGATGTGCTTTAGAAGTGTTCACTTGGCCCCTGCGTGGAAGACGGATTGGAGTGGGGAGAGGCTTTAGGCATAAAGGGCAGCTAGGTTTTTGTCATTGTCCAAATGAGAGTAGCAAGGGCCAGAACCGGGCGCTGGGCAGAGAGAAGGGGATGCCAGGGTGAGGAGGTGTTTTGTGGAAGTGGCGCGATCCCTGAGCTTGGTACTTGGCTGGATATGTGAGATGAGCTGAGAATAACTCAAGTTTTAAACGTGGACTGCTGGAGTTTGGGGAGGAAAAGGAGTTCTGTTTGGGCCAGTGAATTTGTGGTTCCTATGGGAAGTCGGGTGGAACACAGCTGTCAGGCAGTTGGTGCTCAAGGCAGGGCTGGATGGGAAGAACAGGCCTGAGAATCCTCCATGGAGAGAGAATTGGCAACAAAATTAGGTTTCAGTGGAGGACTTTCCTGCTCTTACTTCTCATACAGGCATTCCACCCAACCACTTCACTTCTGTGCTCAGCCTCTTCTTTCCTCCATGTGTGGACACATTCCCTCGGGGGTTCTTGGTTCTCTGTGCGAACCTGGGTGGCTCGCCCTCATGGCTTCAGTTACCACCTTGATGCTCACAACTCCAAAGGTCTCGTCTCTTTCATGGGTCTAGTTCATACCTTGAACTGCCTCCATTTGGATACTCCTGGCATCAGCTCAGACTTTGGAACTTGCCCCCTTCCCCCTAAATTCGTGTCCCCCTCCCTCCACATGCCTGTTTCTGTGGATGGCAGCGCTGGCCCTTGTTGGGGGATCTTCTTTTTCCCCTCCCTCTCCCTACACCTCTACTAAGATGTTTTGTCCTGTCCAGCCTCTGTCTGGGTGGTGAGCACCATCCAGTCAGCCCTTTCTCACTGCCAGGCCCCCTCTGGACACTCACACCCAGACAGGGAGCCCTCCCTCCCCAAGACAGCATGTAGTCTGATATAACTATGCATGTGCAGTCATGTTACACATATTTCCACAGTAGTCATGTTGTGAAGGAAGAATCAGAACAAAAGGGAAAAACCATGAGAAAGAAAAAACAAAAAAGTGAAACTAGTGTATACTTCGATCTGCATTCAGACTCTATTGTTCTGTCTCTGGATGTTGGTAACATTTCCCATCACGAGTCTTTTTGAATTGTC